TACCGGTACTGGTAAGGACTGAGTAATGGGCCGAGACACTATTTTGGAACTGTGCTTGTACGGTACATGATGTATGATGTGTTGAACTAGCCGTATTTGAAGTCTACAGGCCATGCTTGTTGCCAACTAATCCTCATTCGGTTGGATAGTTCTGGATGATTTGCCTGGAATTCATTTGGTGCCTCAGCGTAGAGGACAATTACAGACTTGCAGGCACTTCCAACCACGCTAAACAGAGTAGAACATAGTGTAAAACCCGTCACCATGGCAATGCTGCAGGCGAGAGCAGTCAAGCAATAAAGTTTGAGTTCATCAAGAGGCAACATGGACTGAGAGAGTTGACAAGCAAGCATCCAATTGTTGGTACTTACAGAAATGGTACAATCTCTGGCACGCCTTCGCCCAAGGGTATCACAGAACCAAAGGCCCACCCGATCAACCCATTCAACAGTGCTACAAAAAAGGAGACAATAAAGAGTGCGCGTCCACTCAAATCATCGGTAATGATGGACGTCCAACCTCGACTTCTCAGCAAGTCCATGACCTGCATCCCTGACTCTACAAAGGAGTATCCGTCTGTATTGTAGCACATGGAATTCGGTATGATAGCGAACGATTGAGCATTGTATTGTGTGAGTTCAGAATCTGATAGATCAACACAAGCGCAGCAAGGAATTCCCCCAACTAGCTATACGGCCAACTAACTCACAGATCCCGACAAAGCAAAACGCCCATTCATTGAAGTATTCCAAAATGTTCTTAATGCAGCCGAGCAGAAACTCTGCTATACAGACAAGGACGGAATCTCTACCGTCTCTCATTTGCCGAATAATCTCTTTGGCGGCCGAGACGATGGCAACAACGAGACTCCCAAGGCAGATGGATCCTATAATGAAACAATCAATCGGGGCAGTCAATCGGTTAGACATCCCATTCCAAACGTATGTCATCATGTTGTACTCATCATACAACATCAATAGATAGATAGATCATGATGGCAACCTACCAAATGCCAGAGTGTTGGCTCGGTAATACGAGTCCGTGACCGCCTTGGAGCAGAATTGGTTACCTTCCGAGGGTACCATCCACCAGGTCCCACTGACTCCCGCTACTGTGACCGTGACGACATTGGCAATGACATGAAAGGTCCAATGGTAGCTTGCCAAGAATAGGAATATGAGAAAGGGATCCAAATCGTTGTTGCAAGTTCCATCTCCTTCACAATCTCCCAATACAAAGAGAGCCGCAATGGTGGCTGACGTCCACCAAACCGCCCAGCCAAATGCCAGTGCTAGAGACAGATAGGCGTATACGGCAACTCCCAAGTTATCCCGTACTATGGTAGTTGCCGTGACGAGATTGGTGGCCGCAAAGGGTATTCTTGGCCATGCGTTGCAGGCATACCATGTGACGAGGACAAACATGACGAAGGATGCAATGGCGGCCGCAATTTGCCCCGTGGCTACCGAGGCCATGCCCATGACGAGGGAGAGTAATGCGGTGGCGATAAATCCGACTCGAATGAGCGTTTCGGCAAAGAGTACCATGAATCCCAAGGCAGTGGTAGCCAGAAAAATTCCAGAAACACAAGTGACGGCCACGACAGCAATGGTCGAAGGGAGATTGAGTGTGATGGCGTTGTTGTCGTACAGGTATCCATTGTCAATGTTTTGATAACTCCAATCTTGGTCTCCTTGGTCTTGTTCCAGGAATCTTCGATGATCGTCATTGTTGGCATCGGCGGCATAATCTGCCCCCAAGCGATTGGTCATTTGAGGGATATAGTAAATGGCGACCCATACCATGGCACCTAGGTGGATCAGGAATAGAATGGCCCATATCAGATCGTTGCAACGTCGAGGAGAAGGATCGCGCTTGAAATCTTGTGGATTGTGGATGGGTTCGACAATAGAGTCGCGAGGGTGGTAGGCAGTTGATGGAACCACAAAACCTTTGTTTGGAGTGCTCACCACCTTTCCCTGGACTATAACCGGGGCATTCTGGGGATTATTGGCATTCAAGTAGGGCGTAGTGGAGTTTGCTGTTAGGCCAGATATCGTTGTCATGGTCAAAGTTTGGTTAGTGTTGCTTGGGTAGATCTACTATCTACTATCTGCTGTAAGATCCCATGGAAATCTGGAAAAGCGACGATGATGTTGTGTTGAGGTTCAGTTGCATCGGTGCGCTTCAACCGTTGGTTCCTAAGTAGCCGGACGATATAATGTGGTCAGATAAGGTTAGCGTTTTGCTCCCCCGGGCAATCTTGAGCTCTCTCATCGATCTCGAAGTGATAGATCTGATGTCCTTTGAGCCTTTTGGAGATGCGTGGCCTTGGAGATGGGGAGTTCCGTTTTCACTTCGACAAACGCGTGGACTCCAACTCTGCTTCGTCATAGTGCTTGTCCATCACTACGAAGAACAACACCATTGATATCAACACTGATCCAAACTATCAGTTCCAATATTTACCTATGTTAATAATACATAAGCTCCAGTTGTCCCCTACATTAGCCACCAATGATGTTGACAACAACTCCTGCTGTTGCTGCGCCTAAGCACTCACCAAAACCATCCTTATCCTCGTTGTCTTAAACATCGATCGCTTCGCTCTTCATAGACTTCATAGAGCCCAAGCTTCGATTTCATCGTACAAAGCTAAAAGCTCACAAGGACTCAGTTCTCTGTTGGTTGAATCCAGATCAGACATCTCTGCTGTCTCTTGCTCGCCTGTTCGAGACAACGAAACGTGTGCTGGACGATTGTCAGGCGTGAATGGCTGGCCAAGACCCTTGGCGAGATCTTCCCACGTCTCAGGGCAGAGATCTTGCTCTCGCAACTCCTCGCAAATTTCCTCGTTCGCGATGCGTATCTCTTCCTTCAGAGGGTCTTCTGGAGGCTTACAGGCCGGAAGCAGCTTCAGGCCAGTCATCATGTAATACCAATTTGTGGCTGCCTTCATTGCAAGAAGCATGGGATCGGGGACTTTGTAATCCAAGCTATTCTGAAGTTTCACTTTCAAGACATTGAATCCAGTAACATGTCGCTCTGGCACACGGACCGTCCGAGTAGCGAGCTCTTCAAGAACCTGCTCCACCCCCCTTCCATTGTCTTCACTGTCAATCAGATCTAAAGGGCTAACACAACCTTCACGCGTAGCGCTCTCTGCGAGCGCCTTGATCGTTGCAGTCAGCAGGTCCCGCACACAATTCAGATCTCCTTGCTGGGCCTCTGATACAACCCGCCCCTCTTCGCGAGCGTTGAATCCCCTGCCGCCTATCATTTGTCGGACAATTCTCTCAGTCTTACAGATCAGTACAACCTCGTATTCCTTACCAGGTGTCCAGTCCTTTGCGTTGTTGGGAGGGATGCATGGGAGAACAAAGAATCCCGGGTTGATATCGTAAGGAATCCTATAGGATCCTGGAACCCGAATCTTGTTGATGAGTAAGTTTTTGACGGCATAAGCATTGTCGTTTGCAATGTGCTTCATGATTTTCATCCTCAACTGGAACTCCTCGTCATCCGAACCCTTTTGAATGCAATCGCTCCTCGCATTGATCACGTCAATTCTCTGACTAGCCGCTCGAAGTCTCCGGAGTGAGAGAGGGAGAAGAAAGGGGTCGCCGTTCTCGTCCGTCATTTCGGGAAGGTCAAGGTCCAAGCCCATGATGCACTGTAAGAATGGACCATACACTAGAGCACATCTTTCGTAGTCGGGGACAGCGTGAGCATCTTCACCACTTATGGTACCCAAGATATCAAACTTGCTCCTTCCTCTGGTGGGTTCTGCTTTTTAAAGCGCAGCTTATCGCTATTAAGGATGCTGTTTTTCCTTGAACCCGCACTTCTGTTGGTATGTGTCTTTTCAATAAGACCTATCTCGTTGAGAACTACGCGGTAGTGGCGATTCGTCTTGGTTCGTCGAATGGCATTGAGACCACCAGCAAACTCCACACGTTCATTCGCTCCCCCAAAACCTGGTCCATGAGACTATAGAATTTGCCCTTGATGACCAAACTTGTTTTCTTGTTTAAAATTCCTGGGGATAGGTTGTTTCATATGCTTCACTGTACAAATCCATGCTGAATAGATCAGAGAGCAATTCTTCCTCTAACTCCACCTCCTCGCTAGAGCTCAGATCTAAAAAACGAAGTAGTCTACGAAGAAATATGATCGCAATTGCTGCTGTGGCGGGATGATGTTGTTGACGGTGTGTGTTGGTGCTGTGATGAGCGAGTCGTATTCCTTATGGAAATCCACCCGCCAACGCCCTCGTAGAGTCTAGTACATTTTCTACGAGTGAGGCTTTTTGGCGGGTTGAAACGGCCAGAATCCCCGTGTTATTTGCTAGAAGACACTTTATTGGATTCTGATGAGAACTCACTCTGAAGATTTAAGCTTCCAAATGGATTTTGAGTGCACATTTCCAGGTTTGTATAAGGAGACAGTTGATTGGAAGTTTTCTCTTCTAGTAGTTACTGGGTAAAATCCACTGTTGGATTTCAGCCGTTTTCTTGAGTGGGAATTGGCGGGTAAGATCCCAGTAGTAGTATCACGGAGAATCCACTGTTGGATTTTCAGCCGTTTCTGTCTCTTAAGTAATCTCAGGACAACTTACTAGCCGTTGAAACTTAATCAAACATGACTGACTCCGTGGTAAACTGTACTACACAGTCCAGCGAGAACAAACAACACAAACAAACAACAACAACAACAACAACAACTAACACAACAACTTGCGAAAGCCGACCGTGGCGCAAAAAGAGAAGAAGATCCCCAGAGACACCAAGGAGACGGTCTAAAAAGGGACGTTCTAAACCATAGGACGGTCCAAAGAAAAAACCGTCCCTAATTAGGTGTCGGGTTTCGTGTTTTAGGGTCGGGTTTTGAAAACCGTCCCTATTGTAATGTTAGGGTACGGTATTCCCCCAAACCGACCCTAAATTGGGGACGGATTTAAAGTCATGCACGATTGAGGAAGCTCCCAGTCTTTCTCCATCTCACTACCAATAAAAGTCTCCACGCGGAACGCCCGCCAAACGTACGGTATGTAGAAAAATCTCCCGGCAAACTGGGAATCCAGGTCAGTCGTGCAAACCTGAGGCAAAGCCGAAGGTGCACGGGTGACCGTGGATTCAAGCCCGAGGCAGAGGCTCAACCAAGGCAGAGGCTGAGGCGAAAGGAAGGCCAACGGCCTGGAAAAGCCGAAGACGATGCCGAGGTTGAAGCCGATGCCAAGGGCGCACAGTGAGGTGGGAGATCTTTGTGTGTAATCTACCTGACAACATGCCCGAGGAAGAAAACATGGTACTTGTAACAGGA